GGTAATTACGATGAGCACTTTTTCATACTAGATGTTTTTTTTTATTATTACTTAGACATGGATCTATCATACCAGACAATAATGCCAATGTGCTACGCTACTACTAACTTAACTAGAATAATCTTACATCGCGCCCATTGGTAGTCAAGAATGATAGATGCACTCAACATAGCCCTTTCTGATTCCATCTCTGTACATCGATCAAGCTATATTCATTAGCTGTAGTAAACTGCACCGCACAGAAGGCAAAACTGCCGTTTTTTGTGTCGAAATAAAATAGTGGCCGCTGTGATAGGCTGATTAAGATGATTGTTTTTAGAGCTTGAAGCTCAAACAACCCAGAATATAGAAAAAGTGGTCCGAAGTGGAAAAAAAAAGTTTAGAGGTTAAAAACTACCCTTTAACGCACTCCTCATCACTATATCTTTATGATATCATAATCATTCAGTCAGACAAACACATTTTTTACAAAAAATTATACACCTAATGATTATTTGGGTCGCTGATAACGAATATGACGTCAGAATTTCGAAATTAAAAATGGCGGATCAAATATGGCGGCCGAAAACGTCAAAATGCTTTAAAAATTTGAGAAATCGTGGCCATAGGAGTTTTTTAGGTTGCTCAACACGAATCTGGTATCGAAATTACATAATTCAAAATGGCTCATCTAATATGGCAGCCAGCAAACTGATACTTGTTAAGAACTAACAAGTTCTCGGCTAAAGAAGTTTTTGAATTCGCTGAACACGAACCTGGAATTTTAATGTTTAACGAAAGAATACAGGATTTCATATGATTATCAATATATTTATGAAAATTTACATAGAGTCCATTACGTGATCAAACAATATAGACAGATTTTGGAAAAAATCATAGCAATTATTGTTGCTTCATGTTTGTAAGCCTAAGACTAGATTAATACATTATTAAAGAATATCATTGTTTACCGGGAAAACGTTTTCTACTATTAAATACGAACAATTACTTACGACCCTATGTATTTTTACTCTTACAAATACTGCTTGTTTAAACTAGATTACGGATTAGCTAGGCAACTCTACAAGTTTAGAATGTTAAAGCATAGATATGTAGCAGATTTGTGTCAAAAACTTGTAACATTTTCACTTAAACATTCTAATTGTATACATCTTTACACAAGATTCAAAAATTCGGATTTTAAGCAATAAGTTCTAATTATTCACAGCTACGTCATAATATACATTTCTTACAAAGTTAGCTTCTACTCTTTGGCTTCAATGGATAGTGTTTCTTTTTCTTTAGGTAAATAACAGTCACATGTTTAGATTAATGTTAAAAGACTGATTTTCGTTCATTCAATTTCCTTCTAGTCATTCTCAGCTTCTGCTAACTCGTCTTCTATCTTATGGTAATTTGAATTTTCTCTACAGCCAAATAATATTGCCATATTAAGTGATAGATGTAATGGAGTGAAATAAATAGCTTATTACCTTAAAACGTTTTATTTTAGAAATTTTTATTGCAATTTCTGAATTTCTTACTAAAATAAATAGAGTGAATTTTCTCATAGATTCCAAAAACAAAACTATAATTTAGTATTGGCGTTAAAATAAAACAAACGTGACAGCAAGTAAGTACATGTACATTTTTAATTTGTGATAAATGAACTAAAGCAGTTTTGGAGTCATATTTTTGAAAGGATTTTGCAAACTTACGATAAAGCAGTTATTACTTATTCCTCTCATAGTAACAGTTTTGTTAGATTTTCGATTACTTTGAGATATGCATACATTTTATTTTGATCGCATGATCGTAGCAATATATTTAATTCGAATTTGAAAATTCTTCTTTATTTTTGAAATTTTACAAATGGTTGGACTCAGATATTTTGAACTACATAAACATATACTATATATCGTTAAAAAAACTTACGTCCTCACTAAGAATTTTTCAGCTTTCGTCAACATCTAGTTACCTCACGGAGTCGAGTGTCTGTACTATGACTCATGACTCTGTTAAGATTCTTAAAAACTACTTTTAGGCACAACTGTTCCACGAAAGTACCTTATATTTTCCCCTACTTAGTAATCTCAGGTAAGATCTCAGGTAATTTCTCATTTCAAAATATCACCCTAGAAATTTTTTCGAATATAGTTGTTTTTCCTGCATTTTTTAGTATGTTTTAGCAAAAGTGTCGTATTTTGGACTTAGAAAATTTAGTATCTATTTGTTAAAAAATTAACTAAGTCAAAAAATTTGGAAAATTTTCTGAGTCTGAAATTTATTTATCATGCTTAAAAAAGCTGAAAAATTCCGAAAAAACACTAGTCTTAGAAAAATATCTCAGGGGAGACTTTGACATGATAAATCATCTTAAATCTCATCCGATAATACTAGGTAGGGTCGACAGAGAAAAAAGTGTGACTATGCCTAAATCCTTTTGTTTTTGGTGTGAAAAGAACTTTATACATGATATAGGGGGGATCCGAATAATACCCATCGAGTGCAATAAACGTGAAGTAAACTTTTATACATGCATTAATCTTATAGCCAGTCCTTCATTTTCAAGTTCATGACTGATATTCTACATGTGTGTTTGGCGACCACGTAGACTCTTAATGACAGATTTTTTTACATTTAAAATATGTATATATTTTTTTTTCATCATGATACCGCATCTGATGTTGTCAATGTTATAATTGTAATGTTAAATTTGTGGTCAGTGACAGACGAAACCTTTGTATTAACGTTTTTCACCTCTATGTTGTCTCGGCTTATTGAAATTTGGTAATTCTAATGCTAAATTTGTGTTGTAGAATCTACAAAAATCTGTAAGGCTAAATTTTCTTACTTTTGTCTTACTTTCGACAAGTTTAAACTGTTTTGGTTGCCATATTGGATTCGCCATTTTGAATTTTATAATTATGACGCAGATCTGATGCCAAATTCGTGATCAGCAACCTAAGAAACCACCAGGGCTAATATTCTGTTGGTTTTAAACGTGTGTCAACTTTTTTGGACGCCAAATTGAATCCACCATTTTTAATTTTATAATTATAATACAATTCTAATGCCAGATGCGTGTTCAGCGATCTAAAAATTTCCTTTATGCGAGAACTTGTTAGTTTTTAACAGGTATCAGTTTATTGGCTGCCATATTAGATCAGCCATTTTGAATTATGTAATTTTGATACCAGATTCGTGTTAAGTGACTTAGAAAAACTCTTATGGCCAAATTTTCTTAAATTTTTAAAGCATTTTGACTTCATCGGCCGCCATATTCGATATACCATTTTGAATTTCGTCATTTTGATACCAGATTTGTGTTAAGCAACCTAAAAAACTTGTATGGCCACGTTTTCTCAAATTTTTAAAGCGTTTTGACGTTTTCGGCCGCCATATTGGATCCGCCATTTTTAATTTCGAAATTCTGACGTCATATTCGTAATCACTGACCCAAAAAATCAATAGGTGTATAGTTTTTTTTTAAAAAATGTGTGTTTGTCTGATTGAATGATTATGATATTATAAAGATATAGTGATTAGGGGTGCGTTTAGGGGCAGTTTTTAACGTCTAAATTTTTTTTTTCCACTTCCGACCACTGTATCTATACTTTGGGGTATTTGAGCTTCAAGGTCCAAAAAGAATCATCTTGATTGGCCTATCACAGTGGCCGCTACTTTATTTCAACACAAAAAACGGCAGTTTTGCCTACTGTGCGCCGCCTGTCAAACTAAATTTTTCCTAAATCGGCGACTTAGGTAATTATTTTCACTAAAATTGTCCATTTTTGGGTCTTGTGCCTATGGTTACTTTAGTTCAGAAAAGCATAAACCGTAACATATTAAAACTTCAGTCCATTTTATTGGGAACCACAATCGCAGTGGGTTGGTGTGGGGTCCTTTACGCAGTATTCATAAATTTCAACTTGATAGTCGCACCTTTGACTCGGGAGTCATGAAAGAATTATCTTAACTCTTTTAAGAGATATTTTGATTCAAAGTCTTAAGTGTGGAGTCTATTATGTGCATGTAAACAAAATGTCTGTTAAAACATGGTAGTTAACAATAAGGACTTATCACAGAGTTGGCCGTGATGGTAAAACATTGGATTTTAGTCTCTTATTTTAGAGTGCATATTAAAGGAACCCAGTAGAGCCTCTGCCAGTATACCTGTGAGATGCACTCTGAAGTAAGTAAGTGGGCTAAAACTTTATACCGTCATGGCCAGCGTTTGAGTAACCAAAAATTATCTGAGAGGAGAGAATGGAGATGAATTCATCTACCCTCATTATTCTTCCTCACTAATATTGTAGTAATCTTATATATTGTATTCATGTAAAAACTGCTAACATTTTAGTAGCACAGTATACAACAATCTTAATAGTGTATTTAGATCAGCTGATGTGTACAACTGAATAGCGTATAATACGTATTCAATGTACACAAATATGCAGTACATTAAATATATAATAGGTGAGCAAATTGATTGCCATATGCCGTAGTAGCGTAAAGAAGTTGATTGCATGCCATAATACTTGTCTACCTAAGCACGCAAATTGTATTTTGCTACCAGAAGTATAAGTTGTACTTTTTTTATCTTAGTGCGCAAGTTACATTTTTTTTTGGCTGAACGTATCAGCTAAACTTTTTTTGGTTGTAATGTTAAGCTGTGCTCTTTCTATAAGGATGTATAGACTGCTTTTTTTATTGTATGGGCCATCAATGTTTTCTTACGTGACCACATACGAAAAAATGTAAAAAAATACCAGCAAGATATATGTATTTAATACGAAGCTGACAAGAGCACTATTATCCATAAATTACATATTAGATACAGTTATAGGTTAACAAGCTTCTTTGATACGTAAAGTTAGTTTCAGTAAATTTGTACGTAATTTATACCGTCAAAAAGTTTTTAAACTAAAAATATTTTTACATAAAAATTACTATAAAATTTATCTGTAATCAATTACTTACTTTTATAATAAACTTTTTAAAAATTTTATCTTTTTTAGGAGATAAAATAATGGTTGCTGTCAAAGGAGAGAAAAAAAAAGGAATAATTGTAGGATTGAAACAGAATCAAAAACCAAAAATACCGAAACTTGATACGAACAATTTAGTTCTGATTGACGATAATGGAAATCCTCTTGGAACACGAGTACATGTTCCTATTCCTCATATTCTAAGAACTATCTTAAAAGAAAAAACATGTGTAAAAGGTGCTGATTATACAAAACTTCTAGCAATCGCTACAAACTTTGTTTGATCTCACAATGGATGTATAAAATATCAGAATTCTTGAAAAACGATGGTAAAAAAAATTTTCGGAAACTTTTAAAATAATTTTTGTATATTGCATAATATGTAGAACTTTGATCACTAAAAATAAAAAATAAACCTTCTACTCGGCAAAATTTATTTTTTAGTTGAAAATGTGCATAACAAACAGCTACTGCAGTGCCTTCTGAGCGATTCAGTTTTTAGAACAAAAAAGAGTTTTCATTTAAAAAAGGAACTTTTGTGTAGCTCTTTAGCAACTCAAAATTTGTTATCACCTGTTTTGATCCGTACAATTCCATTAAATGTTGAAATATACCAAGTACGTTAGACGGGCTTTGTGGGCTATAAATCATTATGGAAACTTTCACAGTTATCTTATATTTTTCATTTATTTACTTTCCATAATCTTGAATCAGATTAAAATTCTGTCTACTTATCTTTTTTGGGAAGTCCAAACAAGTAAAATATAATCATTTTAAAACATTGTCACAATTTGAACTTACTTCAGTTCGTATGTTATAACAATTTGAAGTTTGATTTTTTTCAAAATCCTTACAAATTGGTCACGTGATTAATCTTAACCAATAACACAACGAATAAAGAAGCGTTAGTCACCAGAAAATCGATATTATAAGATAGGACTGGTATCGTAATGGACTGGCTGATAACTGTAAAGCGCTTCTACTAGCCACTATTTGATTTTGTCCTCAGTTCATGACGTATGCGTTGCAATTGAAGAAAGAGTTTTTGAGTTATTTGTTTGTTTTCATAATGCCCTTAATGTGACATCCTTAATTAACAATAAATGTAAAAATACATACAAGGGATAAAATGTCGTTACAGTGATTTAAATCGTGCTAACTGCATCCATCAATCGGAAAAGAATTAATAACTCGAAAAATTACAATTTCTGTGCACCCGGTATTCTGTTAAATATTTTTGCTGTATGATACTTTTAATTAAATGAAGGTTATCGAGGGTATAATACAAAGAAGCAAAGTACTTATGAGACTGCATTTTTTGAAAAGGTGATATTTTTTAATTGCGGATAAATCTTAATAAAACTGAAAATCTTCATGTTGTTACGTCGGCGCAACGTATTATTCAAGCCTAAGCTTTCGCTCAATAGCTCGGGACTCACACTGGGTGCGTAGGTGTGACGCGGGGTTAAAGGGGTAATTCAACTTAACGACGCGGTACTCGAATAAGGGGGGCTACGACTGCTTTCACGCGACTAAGACTGACTGCTGTACAATATTCCGATGCACTTGCTCACGGCTTTCTTTTACCAGGAGCGGGTATACTTTGTTCACGATCTTAAAACTGTTAACACCGTCACGAGGAAGGGTATCGTACGTAATTTGATTTTGACACACTAATATCGTGGTGAGTATTTGCCTTAATCCAATCGGTCCTTGTTATTCTGATGGTATTATTACCGCCGAGAGCAATGGTATGTGCGTGGCTAATTTGCTATTCCCGGTGACCGATGGGTGCCAATACTGTGGCGAGTAATGGCGTTCGCGAAAAACACGTTATATTTCCCGGTGATCCATGGGTACCAATACTATGGCGAGTAATGGCATTCGCGCAAACAAAACACTTTATTCTTCCCGGTGATCCATGGGTACTAAAATTATAGCAAGTAATGGCGTTCGCGCAAACAAAACACTTTATACTTCCCGGTGATCCGCGGGTACTAATATGGCGTTCGCGCAAACAAAAGCACTTTATACTTCCCGGTGATCCACAGGTACTAATATTATAGCAAGTAATGGCGTTCGTGCAATCGGAAACACTTGATAAGAAGAAAGAATCTTTAGAAATATGATACTTGGTCACTTACTTTTATTTAAAAGTGAAAGTTGCTACGGGCGTTGAACCAGCGTAGACAGAAACCGCGCTCGAAGACGATCAAGTGTCAGTAGAGGCGGACTCTGGTTACCAGTTGATCGTTCGAGGGTGACAACGAAATTCGACTGTGTCCTCGCTTCGTAGTAGACTGGGTTGTAGCAGAGTCGGGCTCTCACTACTCAGTCTACCTTGAAAGGTATCGTCGAATTTCGCGTGTCGAACTAAACTGACTATACCTCGCTTCGCAGTAGACTGGGTTGTAGCAGAGGCGGACTCTTACTACTCAGTCCACTTTGAAGGGCTATCGTCGAGCCGAGTCGAGTCGAGTCGAACTCCGAACTACGAACTGCGAACTGCGAAATTTTCTCTGGGCTTATGGGCCTTTCTATTGCGAGAAGCGGACCTTGGTCACGCGCTGGCTCGAAAAACGCAGGAAAACTTGCCGGGGGAAAATTTTGGAGAAAAGACAATAGCCGAAAATCTAATTGGCTAGAACTGCTCTAGTTTAGCCACTCAGAAATTGGCACATCCCACATCCGGCTTGTTCTCCTCTGTGCGTCAAGAGAAGAGAAGGTGATTCACTTACTCATGCCCTTCCTTTCTCTTTTACATCAAAAGTTGACAGAATTTCAATATATTTTAACCTTAACATTATGACAAGGTATTGTTAATATTTACTAATGCTAAACATCGGTTGTTCGTTCAGCTAAGCTCATGGCAAAAAGAGCGGTGAAAATCGCTTAACAATTCGGTTGATGCTTGGGTGAACAAACGATCGGTGAGTTGTTATTGTGGCTTGTGTCGGAATATTTATCCTGTACTCCGATTTCCATCATAAATTTTTAAAAGACTTTTTATAGAATAACATTGAAAAAAAAAAACATGGTGACAGTTGGAGGTGCGCAGAATAACAAACGTTATTATAACAAGTATTTTCTCTTAAGTTTACATGTCATGTCCTTGTTTGTTCTCAATTTTATTAACGACAATCTTAGTAGTCTCGTCCCAAATCTAGCTAACATTTCTTTATTATGAGGTCAATTAAGTGTCTCCTTCCGAGATTCAGCACTTCGTTCTTGCTTACCTATCAACACGCTTCTAATAAATCTGGATTAAATCTGGCGGGTTATTCTCAACCTTTTTTCTGACCTATAGGTCTTTTTTGCTAGCTTATCATCGAGGTGTTCTTCAAAGTTTTTGAATCTCTTTTTCGTTGCTTCACGAGTTTCTTTAAATTTAGCAAGTAGTTTTTTAATTGATTTCTTACTTTCTGTCATTAAAGAAACTACGCTTTTTAAATAAAAAGTCCTTAGAATGGTTCTAATACTTTATTTACCATAAACATCTCATACTCGCTGGACCATTAAAAAGATTTTTACTCTTTCGTAAGATTAACAAACGTTTTATACGACTAACGACTTGAATAAACAACTGGCTCACGTAGCAGTGCTAAAAGAATACGAGAAAAAGACGAGCTTCTCGTGTCTTTCGGAAACACAAAAAGCCTTGTACTTATCTAATAGCGTATATTTTCTTCAATGAAAAAAACTAAAAACATGTTTCTGAAAAACTTACTCATTTCATGATGCGACTTAAGCATCAGGACTAGTTCGATTGAGTGTGGTAAGCAGCTTGTCGAAGTTTATGGATTAAATAGATGAATAATAGCATCAATTAAAACTGGAACGATAACTAATACTTGTTCCATTACATTCTTCTGCCCCAATGAAACTGATAGATTTCAATCAAATAGTCTTAGAAAAGTTCCAGATGCAGTCTTACTTCAGCAACTTTAATTTGTCCACTATTTTCTAGAGTAGCTTGCGTAATAATGCCTTTTTTATAAAAATTCGTTTTAACATTATTGTCAGTTTTACAAAATTGTTAGTTATGATGAATTATTTTTGATATGCCACTTTTTGCAGGGTAGCATTGTCAGTTTGTATAATCGAAGGCAGGTTGGCTAAAAGGAGCCTACAAAACTTTGTAAAAACAACCACTCCTAATAAATAAATAAAATTAAACTATCAAAAATGCTTCAATTAGTTTTCCCTGCTCCTTGACTCATAGATCTAGAGAAACGTGTGTAAGCAGATGTAAGTTGACACAGTATTTGATTTCAGTTAACAATATAAACTTGATAGATTGAATACATCATCAGACGGATTTTTCCCTTACATTTAAAGAGTCAAATAGACCATCGTCTGATAAATTTTTAACCAGGATAAAATAACGTATCGGTCGGCGAATTTTAAAAGTGCTGAAACCAATTATCTTTTTAAAGTAAAACTTCTTTAGGCGTGCCATATACCGAGTTTACCCGTGAAACGACCAACCCAACACTGGCGTGTATATATATGTACATATATTCCTCAATATTATATAGTTGCTTCGTGTAGGGCAGTCACACTTCTCCCCCACAAAAAAGTTTGTTCCAAATAGTCTCCCACAAAATAAGATTTTACGTGATTTTACGTGATTTTTACATAGCTAAAAAACACGCTAACCCCATATTTAGCTCCCCCACGCCTCCAAAGGATTTTTTTGCCCTTACCTACAGCCCCCCCCCATGCTATTTCAACGTGCCAAGCATAAGAATAAAATGTATGCACTTATTGTTCTACATACTTACTCTGTCCACGATCTAAACACCTTTGAGCTAATCCACAAACAAACCTATAACATACATACTAAAGGCCGTGGTTACATCGGAAGAAAAAAGCCAGCAGATCGTCACACCGTCAGAGAGAAAAGTTGAGTATCCTGTTACAGATTCCATTTGTTGCGTAACCTTATTTTATAACATAACTGAACTTGTATTTTGAAAGCCAGCAGAATGTTACATTGTCAGAGAGAAAAGCCAATTCCCCTATTTTCATTTTTATTTATTGTGGGAACCCCTTTTTTCTAACGTAATTTATCAGAGGCGGTACCATATAACTTCTTTTTGCTTCGTGGCCCTGTGTTATAACATAGGCTGATGTACTCAAGAATAGTTACATAATACGACCCCATTATCACGTAAATAGAATTTCGCGCATAACAATACACTCATCACAAGTTCATTACACCTACACTTTTACGGAGAAAAAGGTGTACAGGTACGTATATACACTAACATTTCAAGTGTAGTTGTTTGTTACATCCATACTAAAGGCCGTGGTTACATCGGAAGAAAAAACTCAGCAGATCGGCACACCATCAGAGAGAAAAGTTGGTTATACTATTACAGATTCTATTTTTTGTGTAACCTTATTTTATAACGTAA